AGTAGCTGGGATTACAGGCGCCTGCCACCACGCCTGGGTAATTTTTGTATTTTTAGTAGAGACTGGGTTTTGCCATGTTGGCCATGCTGGTGTGAAACTCCTGACCTCAGGTGATCCACCCTGCTCAACCTCCCAAAGTGCTGGGATTACAGGCATGACTCGCAATGCCTAGCTGATACTTTAATTGGAGGTTTTTGTTTTGTTTCAGTTACGAAGTTTTCTTCTGCTCCTTAAAGTCTTCTTTTGTATTGTTTTGGCCTGTCTTTCGTGTTAGTGACTTTATGTAAAAATCTGGTGATTCTCAGCCATTGATTTAAATTTAAGACTTTTTTTTTTTTTTTTTTGAGAGAGAGTTTTGCTCTTGTTGCCCAGGCTGGCATGATCTCGGGTTGCTGCAACCTCCGCCTCCCAGGTTCAAGTGATTCTCCTGCCTCAGCCTCCCCAGTAGCGGAGAATTACAGGCATGCACCACCATGCCCAGCTAGTTTTGTATTTTTAGTAGAAACGGGATTTCTCCACGTTGGTCAGGCTGGTCTCGAACTCCCGACCTCAGGTGATCCACCCGCCTTGGTCTCCCAAAGTGCTGGGATTACAGGTGTGAGCCACTGGGCCTGGCCTTTTTTTCTTTTTTTTTTTTTTTTTTTTGACATGGAGTCTTGCTCTGTTGCCTAGGCTGGAGTACAGTGGTGCAATCTCGGCTCACTGCACAACCTTCGCCTCCTGGGTTCAAGCAATTCTCCTGCCTCTGCCTTCTGAGTAGCTGGGACTACAGGCATGCGCCACCACACCTGACTAATTTTTGTATTTTTAGTAGAGACGGGGTTTCACCATGTTGGCCAGGCTGGTCTCAAACGCTTGACCTGACCTCAGGTGATCCGCCTGCCTCGGCCTCCCATAGTGCTGGGATTACAGGCGTGAGACATTGTGCCCAGCCTCAAATTTAAGACAAATTCCTAATGAGTGGGTTGAAAGTTCTGTGTGAGGAGACATTATTGAGTGATAGCGGGGTTCTAAGCTTATTAAGAGAGAAATACATCTGATCATGATCACCTGTTTGGGATTGACAAACCTGGTTACCAATATTCCTTCAGCCAGATGGATGTTGGAATTTGAGGATTTAGAATTACACTTTTGTGATTCTTGTTTTTCTTCAGCTGCTCCTGGTGTCCCTCAGTCTAGATTTCTTACATTTACCCTCTCTAGAAAATTAACCTTTGCAGTTTTCTAGGGCAAGTGAGAGCCAGTTACGTGTTAGTATGTAGTGGATAAGGGGATTGTTTTGATTGCTTTTCAGATGATATGCAGTTCCTCTTGGTTAGCCTTTTCTGGAAACGTCCCTCCTGGATACATAGAACATCACTGCGCATGCCCATCTCCCCTCCCCCGATGCCTGGTATCTAATGTTCCTCCAGTTTCTGGTGCTCTAATGCATTGCTTTTGGATTTGTCTTACTTACTGCAGCGGCTTTGTTTGGTCCTAAGTCATTTACCACTTGTCATATGTCCTTTCAAGTTTCCAGGGATAGTCTTTTTTATATTTATGGCTTTATGCCCTTTATCTCCGTTGTCATTTGGCGTTTCAAGAAGGAGAGGTGGTAGTCTTTAAGTGGAATTAACTACTTGTGTTTCTGATGTGGTCTTTTTATGTTTCTGACAGGGTCTTGTTTTACCAAGTACTAGTCATCAGTCTATCCTGTTTACTTGATTTTTTTCCCATTCAACTCACAAACATTTTTGAATCGTCTCGTGAATTCTGCTTTCCATTTACATTTTTGCCCTTTTATCTTTTCCTCATCGCTGACAAGCTTCCTGAAAAAATAAAACTAGTTGATGTATTCACTTCTTCAAATGCCTACTGTGTTGTTATTTTTTCCCTTGTGCTTAATGATTGAGATATAACTCAGTTATTATAAGTAATAGCATATAAAATCTGTATTTGATATAACACTTTCATCATGGACACTGTCCATTTTGTTCTTCAGTGACTCAACATAAAAGATCCATGTACAAGAAGTTCTTTTAATAATAAAGCATCAGGAAAATTATCTCCTTTGCGTATCTGGTATATTTCCTCCTTTTTGATAGATCTGTGAAATACATTCTGTTTATCTTTTTGTCCTGGTTACCAGGCAGCCTAGCACCAAATCTGGTCTTTAGTTACATCAGCTGTATTAATATCATTATTAGTATATTTGTTCCCTCTTTCTCCTTCCATGGGGTTTAGGACTTCACCTCTTATCTCTGTTTCTCTGCGTGTTGATTTCATTCTCTCACACTACAGACTCTACTTCATGAGGCTGGAACCATGACTGCTGGCAGCTCTTGTTTCCAGCCCCTTCTACCAGAAGAAGGGGCTTTCTTGAAGAATCCTGGAAAGGACTCTGATTGGCCTGTCTTGGATCATGTGCCCATCATCTCTGTGGCTGGAGTGGGGAGGGTACTGTGAATGGCAACCCTCACTAGAACTACATAGTTGGAGTCAGGGGTAAGAGCAGTTTCCATAATGCAGGGGGGTGGGTGCTGTTTGCAAAAGAAGGGGATGCTTATGAAGCAGAAAAACAATAGATGTCTATCATACTGGCTCTTATTATTTTTCTTTTTTTTTTTTTGGAGACAGAGTCTCGCTCTGTTGCCCAGGCTGGAGTACAATGGTGCGATCTGGGCTCACTGCAACCTCTGCCTCCCAGGTTCAAGCAATTCTTCTGCCTCAGCCTCCCAAGTAGCTGGGATTCTCACCAGGTGGCCCTGCCACCCATATCTCTGGCTAATTTTTTTTATAGTTTTAGTAGAAATGGTTTTGCCATGTTGGCGTGACTGGTCTGGAACTACTGGACCCTGCGGTGATGCACCCACTTCGGCCTCCCAAAGTGCTGGGATTACAGCGGTGAGCCTCTGTGCACGCGCTTATTTTTCTTTCTTTAATTATTAGCAATACTTGTGCCGTTTATTGTAGACTGCCTCAAATCCTTTTCTAAAAATTTTAGGTTTCAGTACATATAAATATCCTAAAATAAGCATAAACTCCTCTTCATTCCATCATTCAAGGGTGCAGTGAGCTATGATCCTGACACTGTACTCCAGCCTGGGTGACAGAGTGAGACCCTTATCTCTAAGGAAAAAGAAAACATCAAAGAGACCATGGCTTAGATGAACTAAATCTATGACTGAGCAGTTTATTATCTTCTTTTTTTAAAAAAAATTAAAAAAAAACTTTTTTAGCATTTATTTAACATAACAGCAACCGGTGGGGTTTCTGCTACATTGCCCAGGCTGCATCTTACAACTCTTGGCCTCAACGCGATCCTCCCTCCTGGTGGCCTTCCAGGTGCTCGGAATCTATAGCATTGATGGTCATGTACGGCCCAGACTCTTTATCAAACAACATTTTTAGTTTTTAAAATTTTAAAACTAGAGACATCTAGTTTTTTGACACTATTCCTTCTCAGTTCCAACAGTGCCCACTGGTCATAAATCAGCTATTAGTATTCTGTATGGATTCTCTTCCTCTGACTCTCTGCATGTTCTTTTTTATAGGCTGCGGCGGCTTTGTGAGAAGAGGCCTGACAGTTTTTAAAAATTACCACATGAGGCCTCATATTAAAGGTAATAAACCTCGGATACAAAGATATCCAGACTAGGGACCATTAGCTCCTTTCTATGTTGTGTTCCTTTGTTTGTTGTGTATATTTCGAAGTATCTTGCCACTGTTCTTCACGCTTCTTTGCATTTGATAAATGATATCGTGTGACGCAATAATGTCTCCACAAAAATGTTGCTAGTGTTTTGAGTTTGCATGATTGTGTGTACTCAACATTTGGGGAAGAATGGAACTTCTTTCTTTTTGCGAGCACAGAGTCTTGCTTGTCCACCCACGGCCTGGAGTGGCAGTGGTGCGATCTCGGCTCACTGCAGCCTCCGACTCCTGGGTTCAAGCGATTCTCCTGCCTCAGCCTCCCAGGAAGCTGGGACTACAGGCGTCTGCCACCATGCCTGGCTGATTTTTGTATTTTTAGTAGAGAAGGGGTTTCATTATGTTGTCCAGGCTGGTCTCGAACTCCTGACCTTGTGATCCGCCTTGCCCTCCCAAAGTGCTGGGATTACTGGCATGAGCCCCTGCGCCTGGTGAGAATGGACATCTTTATAGTTTTGAATTTTTCAATCCATGAACATGGTAATCTGATTATTCAGATTTTCCTTACTCATTGTGGTAAAATACACATAATACAAAATACAGCATTTTAACCATTTTTTCTGTATGCAGTTCAGTGGCATTAAGTACATTCACAGTATTTTATAATCATCAGCAGTATATATTTCCAGAACTAATCCCAAAGAGAAATTCTGTACCCCATAAGCATAACTCTCATTTCACCCTCTCTGTAGCCCCTGGTAACTTCTGTTTTCTATTAAGTTGCCTAGTTTAGCTACCTCATGTAAGTGGAATCTTATATTTGTTCTTTTGTATGTAGCTTATTTCACTTTGAATGTTTTCAGGGTTCATCTATGTTGTAGCATGTATCAGAATTTGAATCTTGTTTATAGCTGAATATTACATAATCCATTATTATGTATATACCGTATTTTGTTTATCCATTCATCTGTTGATGGAAACTTGGGTTGTTTCTACCTTTTTGCTATTGTGAATAATGCTAAGCTGAACATTGGTATTCTAGCATCTGTTTTAATCTCTTTTTTTGAGTGGGGGGGTATACATTAGGAGTGAAGTTGCTGGATCGTATGGTAATTCTGTTTGGCTTTTTTTTTTCTTTTTTCCTGAGACGGAGTTTCACTCTTGTTGCCCATGCTGGAGTGCAATGGCATGATCTCGGCTCACTACATCCTCCGCCTCCCGGTTTCAAGTGATTCTCCTGCCTCAGAGTCCCGAGTAGCTGGGACTACAGGCGTGTGCCACCACACCTGGCTAATTTTGTGTTTTTAGTAGAGACGGGGTTTCTCCAATGTTGGTCAGGCTGGTCTCAATCTCTTAACCTCAGATGATCTGCCGGCCTAGGCCTCCCAAAGTGCTGGGATTTGAGCCACCGTGCCCGGCCTGTTTGGCCTTTTGAGGAATTGCCAAAATGTTTTTCACAGAGACTTCAGCATTTTGTATTCCTACCAACAATGCATGAAGATTCAGTTTTTTTCCACTCAAGTCTTTTTCAGTTTTCTTCAACTCTTGTTATTTTCTGTTGTTGTTGTTACTGTTTTTGAGACAGGGTCTTGTTCTGTCACTCAGCATTGAAGTGCAGTGGCTTGAACATGGCTCACTGGAGTGTCAGCCTCCTGGGATCAGGCATTTGTCCCACCTACACTCCTGTGTAGCTGGGACCACAGGCACACACCACCACCACTGCCACCTCATTTTATTGATTTTTATAGAGAGGTAGCTTCACTATGTTTTCCAGTCTGATTTTGAACTTCTGGACTCAAGCAGTTCTCCTGCCTCAGCCTCCCCAGAGTATTACGATTACAAGTGTGAGTCATGATACCTGGTCAGTTTTCTGGTTTTTGATGATAGCCATGCTAATGATGTGAAGTGGTATCTTGTTTTGATTTGCATTTTCCCGGTGATTAGTGATACAAGCATCTTTTCATCTGCTTGTTGGCCATTTGTGTGTATTCTTTGGAGAAATGTCTGTTCAGGTCCTTTGCCCTTTTTGTGTGACTTTCTGTTGTTGAAATATCAGTATTCTTTATCTACTTCTAGATCCTAGACCCGGTATCTAATTTTAGATTCCAGACCGTTCTTAGATATATGATTTGTGAATACTTTATCCCATTCTGTGTGTTGTCTTTTCACTCTGTTGATAGTCATGTCCTTTTATGCACAGAGATTTTAATTGTGATGAAGTCCAATTTATCTTTTTTTAGTTTTTGTTTTCTGTGCTTTTGGTATATCCAAGAAATGATTGTCAAATTTAGTGCAGTGAAGATTTCCCCGTGTTTTCTTCTAAATGTTTCTATAATTGTTGCTCTTTTTTTCTTTTTATTTGAGACGGATCCTTGCTCTGTTGCCCAGGTTGGAATGCAGTGGCGTGATCTCGGCTCACTGCAACTTCTGCCTCCTGGATTCAAGCGATTCTCCTGCCTCAGCCTCCTGAGTAGCTGGGACTACAGGTGTGTGCCACCACACCCAGCTAATTTTTGTATTTTTAGTACTGACGGGGTTTCTTCGTGTTGGTCAGGCTGGTCTCAAACTCCCAATCTCAGGTGATGCGCCCGCCTCGGCCTGCCTGGGATTACAGGCACGAGCCACCGCACCCAGCAACACTATTTTGATTACTGTAGCTTTGTAGTGAGTTTTGAAATCAGGAAGTGTGATGTCTTCAAATTTATTCTTCCTTTTCAAGATTGTTTTGACTATTTGAGGTCCCTTGAGATTCTTCATGAGTTTTAGAATGTATGTTTTTTTTATTTCTGCAAAAAGCATTCTTGGGATTTTGATAGGGATTTGATTGAATGTGTAGATTGCTTTGGAGTGTAACATCTTAGCAACATTAAGGTGTTACAATCCAAAAACATGAAATGTCTCTCCATTTATTTATGTTGTCTTCAGTTTATTTCAGTAAAGTTTTGTGATTTTTCTGTGTATAAGTCCTGCATTTTCTTCATTGCTGACTTATATATACTTGTTTTTTCTTTTTTTTTTGAGACGAGTTTCGCTCTTGTTGCCCAGGCTGGAGTGCAATGGCATGATCTTGGCTCTCTGCAACCTCCGCCTCCTGGGTTCAAGCGATTCTCCTGCCTCAGCCTCCCGAGTAGCTGGGATTACAGGCATGCGCCACCACGCCCGGGTAATTTTGTATTTTTAGTAGAGATGGGAGTTCTCCATGGAGGTCAGGCTG